TTGCACCCATTTGCATCCCTCCCTGCACCCTTCCTGCATCCCCCCGCACCCCTCTGCACCCCGCTACATCTCCCCCGCATCCCCTGCTCCATCCTCCTTCTCCATCCTCTCCCTTCATCCCCTGCTCCATTCCCCCATCACCCCCCCCCACCTCCTTCCCCCCACTTCTCCCCCTTGTCTCCATCCTCCCTCTCCATCCCGTTCCGTCTCCCCATCCTGGTGCCCGCTACTCAACTCTCTACGGTGACGGCGCCGTCGCGGGGGGCCGCCCCGCTCCTCCCGCGGTGACAGGCGCCCGCTGGCTGCCCGGCCTCCACGTCCTGCAGCCACCCGCTGCTGCGGTCACCGGACACCAGGGTCGGCCACTGGCCTGGGGGGGCTGCTCAGCCCTCTCCRTGTCCCCATCTCTGGGGACCCCCATGCCCAGTGTCCCTGCTGTTCCCAGTCAATCCATTCTGTCCCCACCCCTGGTGGCCTCAGCCCTGTCCCCAGCATCCCTGGTGTGTCCCCTGCCCAGCATTCCCACCCCAGCATCTCTGGTAGCTCCTCCCTCATTGTCCCCATCCCCAGTGTCCCCTGCCTGGTATTCCCATCCCCAGGATCATCCCCTTGACGTCCCCATCCCCAGCGTCCCTGCCATCATCCCGCTAGAGCCCTCAACCCAGTGTCGCTGCCCTCCTGTCCCCAAGGTCCCTTCCCTCCTGTCCCCAACCCCAGCACCTCCTGGTGCTCCCAGCTGCCCAGGGTCCCTATCCCCCCATCCCCAATGCKTCCCCATCCCGGGGTCCCCGCTCACGCGTGGGAGCCGGCGTCGCGGGCGGCGCGGCAGGAGCGGTTGTGGCTGTCCCAGGCGCAGTAGGGGTCCCGGGCGAGCAGGCACTCGGCGCAGCTCTGGTAGCCGCTGCAGTTGGCCAGCGGCACCTGCAGCACCCCCCCGGAGTAGCCCACGTAGAGGACACCCTGGGGACAGAGACGCTCCGCTGAGCCCCGGCAGCTCCAGCACCTCCGTACGCCGCCGTATGGCTCAGTGTGGTTTGATACGGCTTGATACGGCTCAGCGTAGCCCGGTATGGCTCAATATGCTTCAATACGGTTCAATATACTGCTCAGTATGCCTTGATATGGCTTGATATGGGTTGATATAGTTTGGTATGTCTCAATACAGCCCAATACCCCTCAATACGTCTCAATGCACCTTGATATAGCTCGATATACCCCAGTGTAATTCCATATGGATTGATATGGCTCAGTATGCCTCAATACACTCTGATACCCCTTGATCTGGCTCAATACGGCTCAGTATGGCTTGATATGCCTCAAAAAGGCTCCATACACCTCAACGGGACTCAATACAGCTCGATATAGATCAATAAATCTCAATAGGGCTTGATAACCTTGATATGGCTGGATATGGATCAATACAGCTCAGTATGGCTTGATACACCTCAATAGGGCTCAATATGCCTCAATATAGCTTGATACACTTCAGTGGGGCTTGATATGCCTTGATATGGCTTGATAGGGCTCAATACATCTCAATAGGGCTCAATGCACCTCAGTAGGGCTTGTTATGCCTCCATATGGCTTGATAGGCCTCAATATGCCTCAATAGGGCTTGATAGGGCTCAATACACCTTGATATGGCTTGATATGGATCAATACACCTTGGTAGGGCTCAATTCACCTCGACAGGGCTCAACAGGACTCAATTCGCCTCAACAGGGCATAGTGGGGCTCAATAGGGCTCGATTCACCTCGACAGGGCTCAATAGGGCTCTACAGGGCTCGATTCACGTTGACAGGGCTCGATAGGGCTCGATAGGCCTCAATTCACCTCAACAGAGCTCCATAGGGCTCAGTAAGTCTCGATTCACCTCGATAGGGCTCAATAGGGCTTGATAGGGCTCGATTCACCTCAAAAGGGGTTGATAGGGTTCAATAGGGTTCAACAGGGCCCGATAGGGCTCAACAGGGCTCGATTCACCTCAACAGGGCTCAATAGGGCTCGATTCGCCCCGATGGGGCTCGATAGGGCTCAGTAGGGCTCGATAGGACTCAATAGGGCTCAATTCACCTTGACAGGGCTCGATAGGGCTTGATAGGACTCGATTCGCCCCGATGGGGCTCAACAGGGCTCAATAGGGCTCGATTCACCCTGACGGGGCTCGATAGGGCTCAGTAGGGCTCGATAGGGCTTGATAGGGCTCGATAGGGCTCGATTCGCCCCGACGGGGCTCAACAGGGCTCAATAGGGCTCGATTCACCCTGACGGGGCTCGGCACCCACCTTGCCGGGCGCCAGCACCAGGCTCTTCACGGGCTCGGGCGTGCGGAAGAGCTGGATGCTCTCGACGATGTGGGGCTTCTTGGGCAGCTCCACCACCTTGTCCAGGAAGCCGTTGGCTGCGGCAGGGACACGGGGCCGTCGGCGCCGGCGCCGCGGGGYGGCCTCCGCTGCCCCGGCCCCCGACCTACCGGTGCCCAGGAAGAGGACGCGGTAGGTGCCCCCCGAGACGCCGCGGGGCTCGTCCACGGCCACGCGCGTGTAGGTGACGCCCATGCGCACGAGCAGCGGCTGCCCGCCGCGCGGCTGCACCTTGCCGTCCATGAGGAAATGCTCCTTGAGGAAGGTGAGCGCCTTGTCCGACGAGGGGCCCACGGAGCACTGCGGAGACGGCGCGGAGGGGCCTGAGGCTGGAGCCGGCGGAGGCGCCGGTGCTGCCGCCGGTGCCGCCGCGCGGCCCCACTCACGCTGCCGGGCCGGGGGCTCATGTCGGGGCCCCCGTAGACGCTCCAGCGGGAGCTCTCCTTGTTCAGCTCCTTGTACTTGCCCTCGAAGACCTCGTCCACGGCCTCCTGGCTGTAGGCGCACACGGCCGCGCTGCCCTCCGTGCCCGTTTGCCTGCGGAGCGGCCRTGGCCGTGGGTGGCCGGACCCCGGCACATCCCCCGCCCGGGGGCATGCCCCAAAATATGAGAGYGTGCCCCAAAAAATGAGAGTGTGCCCCAAAATCCAAGTGTGTGCCCCCAAATACGAGAGCATTCTCCAAAATATGAGTGTGCCCCAAAATATGAGAGCATACTCCAAAATATGAGAGTGTGCCCCAAAATCCAAGTGTGTGCCCCCAAATATGAGAGCATGCTCTAAAATCTTCCTGCAGTCCCCCTAAATCCCCGTGCATCCCCCTGAAAGCTCCCTGCATGCCCGAATCCCTGCATCTGTCCCAAATCCCCATGCACATCCCCAGCCCCCATGCACTTCCAACCCCCGGGCATGCCTAAGTCCCAAGGCACATCCCAAATCCCTGTGCACATCCCAAACCCCCATGCACCCACAACCTGCTGTGAATGCCCAAGTCCCCATACACATCCCAAATCCCTGTGCACACCGTAAATCCCCATGCACGTTCCAAATCCCCACACACATCCCCAAACCCCGTGCACATCCCAAGCCCCCATGCACATTCCAAATCCCTGCACACATCCCCAAAACCTGTGCACATTCCAAATGCCCATGCGCATCCCAAATCTCC